CATCCTTTTATCAATATTTCTTTTTAGAGCGAAGCGGTGTTGCATGTGGGATTTTTTTTGTTGTACCTGGACTTTGCCTAAAGCGCTGTTGTTCGCCAGCTTCAATGCATGAAGGCTAGAGGCACGTTTTGCGATAAAATGATGGGCTGTAGAACTGAACTAGTAATGACAAGGTGGCGGTTTTACTCACCGTCGGAAAGGTCCAACAGGTCAGCGTTGGCCATTTGCAATGAGATGCACATCGTTGTACCCGTCTTGAGACGATGAACTCAAAACTATCTTCAAAATTTGCGGAACGATTCTCTGAGCGGAGTTAGAGAGGTTTTTCTTTACTGTTTTTCTTCTTACGGGCGCGCTGGCGCCGAAGCGTTGGCACATGTAGCGCAGAACGCACAGCCCTCCTCGCGCAAAGTAAGGTATCCCTATTCCGTATTCGGGGGGGGGGTCAAAACTCTAAAGAGACGAGACCGTCGGCGAAATCTGAGGTTCTGGCTCAAGTTCAAAAAAATGGGGTATGGAAGCGGGGAATGGGAGTCATGGCTGACTGATAGCTAACAGCGATACTACTATACTATGACTAGCATACTGGTGATGACTGGTCTTCGAACTGAAATAACTCTTCAGTCATGTCTTTTTGTAAACAACAGTACCTGGCTTACTTATTTGTGCCCGTCTACATCATTTTCTTGAACAATCGCGGAGAAATCCGATTCGCGAGACCAGTATCATCGCTGTAGGCTGAGCTGCCATCTGGCTGCTAATTACCGGCATCCGGAATAAGCCCCGCACGCTTTTCCAATTTGTGGTCGAAATATCCAGACTCTCGGCCTGACGCAACTGTCCCCAGGGGTAATTTACCCGCCTGAATAGAATGTCGATTGGTATCGTCATTGCCAGCTACAACCGTTGTCGACACCGCTGGTTACGAAGGGCGTGCAAGATGACTCCTTTCATGCCATAATGAGTTCCACACTTTCAGACCACAATAAACCTGGGTCGCAGGTAGTAGTGGCAGGCGAGCCGCAGATGATTTGGAGCTTTGTTGCTGAACACTCTTTTACGCGACCAACAATGATCACACTTTCAAAAAAAAATGAATCCGCAGGTTTCTCTTTATAAGTAGTGCATGCGATCCAGAGATGTTGGACAGCTTTGTTAGCTATGTTCTTCTGGACAAATGCAAAAAGCAACGCCAGAATCACGACCCTCAAATAACGTTTCGCTAAGAAACCCGCTCTATACCCGCTGCGCTGTAACTATCACGTTTTTCAGGCATGACTCCATACATAAATGTAAGACTGTACTTTCACGTTTCTCGGAGTAGCATGCTGAAAACGTACCAGCCGCGGGATAAGACCCTCCATAACTCCGTCAAGAGAATCGTTCCGCAAATTCTGAAGGTAGATTTGAGTTCACTGTCCCAAGACGCGTGCAACGGTGTGCCAGCTATTTGAAATGCAGGCTGACCCTGCTTGACCTTTGGGTGCAGCTAAGTGGAGAAAGTGTGGAAAGAAACATACTGGCCTGTGAAAATGATATTGATAGGAAAGCTCTGGAGGCGTTTTGAATCAAGCACTGTAATTCATGTATAAGTAACGGGAATGAGTAAGTCTCAATAGCTCCTGATACTCCACTATGTGAGCTTACAGTGGAAGTCAGTGTGTTGCTCACGTTGTGCTTACTGTACGTCGAGGCAGAACCATCGCGTTGGTGAATTGACGTAGGTAACCTTTTGCTGGAATTTCTCTTTCGTTTGTCGATCCTCGGCCTGAGTTGCAACAAGTTGAGAGCGGATCTGCGTTAAACAGGTCTGCTTCAGTTAGCATTTTGACATGTTTTGAAAACTCTAGGAGTTGTCAAGATTGGTGCTGTTCGCATTAGACGGTGGGAGACATTTTGCCCTTCTGTCAACCAACAGGTGAAGTCTATGAAGCGTTGTGAAGATACAGAATGGCACAAGTAAGCCTATTTAGTTACAGGAATTTATAAGCCCCCATAAGGTAACCTGTACAAGCTTCGTTGTATACTTTTTGGTACCCTAACTAAGCCGAACAGCGCCTAAAAATCCCACCATACAAAGCCTTTTTGGTGTAAAAAAGAAAATATCGATTATTACATATGATGCCCTTTGTTCTATTAAAAAATGGTGGCCGCGAGTGGGAGAAACTGTCTCTCGCCGTAGTCGTCGCCTACCAAAAAAGCGTTCGACTTTATTGAATCCAATGCCGGAGGGTACGTTCGAAAGAGCTATCTGCACTATACGAATGACAGTTTGATACTGCTCGATTGTTGCTGATTCTGGGCTCATTGACGATGCAGATCGGCATTCAACGAGACAATTTTTGCTCATTCTTCATGCCTGGATGAGATTGACCGGGAGACAGAGGTTACTTTATTGACCAGTATCGTCTAATATCTAACCTTGGATAACGAAGCCCGTTTCTGCACCGGATATCGCTGCAAGTCAGTTATTTGACTAATACGAATTAAATGCTTCTACTACCATGAAAAAGGTAACATGCAAATGTGAGGCGTCCAGATGGACCACCAACTCTCATTCAACTCATGCAGCTGGAGTTGCCACTGCTATTCGCTTTGGAGCTGCCTTGCTTAAAAAGCATTCTGAATGGGGTACTGTATCATGTTTACAAACTTGGAATAATAATTTATTGAAGTGCGCTTTCCATAGCTGTGCAATTGATCACGCAAATTCACTGTAATTTGTTTTATCCTCAGTTCTTTCTCTTTAGTTGGATCATTTTAACCCTAATCAAGCCAGAACTTTAGTTTTTAGATTACTGGTAGAAAGTATCGAAAGATGAAGTCACCTTTACTCATACTGGTGTGCCTCTCGGAGTTTTTAGGTAGAAAACTTTATTCAACGTCCTAACGTTTCAATGTGGTTGTCTTTGTAGTCAGCAGGCTTTTTTGACTAACTTCTGAATGCTGTCCACATGTGACAGCGGATTCACGGTGGAACCCTGGCCTCTGGGCGACCACGTCGAAACGTTAGGCCGTTGTATGAAGTTTTCCCATCTGGAAACCTCGAGGCACAGCAACATGAACAAAGATGACTTTATTTCAACTATGAGTACCCATGAATACCCATGAAAACTAAGTTATTGGCTAGATTAAGGTCAACTTGATATGTAAGATCAAATTGGTTTATTATTTTAAGACGCAAAGTTGACCTCAATCTTTTTTCATTAAACGAGATAGCAATGGCCGGTCAGACAACTTATACCGTAAAATCTTTCATGTCGATTGCACAGCTACGGACAGTGCATTTCGATGAACTAACATTCCAGCTTTGTAAACATGAGACAGTACGCAATTTGGAAGCGCTTTGTTGAGTTAGGGCAGATTTCTTAAATTAAAGCACGGTGCCAACTCCTGCTAGGCATAAGTTGTATGCCGGTTATTCGGACTCCTGGAGGCGCCTCACATTTTATTAGTACCTTTTTCATAGCTGTGGAAGCATTTATTCCTACTGCCAAAAAATCTGCCTGTAACGATATCCGCTGAAAAAAAGGCTTTCCCGCTTCAGGTGAATTCGGCATATATGAAAGCATGGAGAAGTAACGCAACGGTGAACCTAGGAAGGATCTGAATCTCAGGGGAAGGGGTCCTTCATTATGCACTAAATCATACTGTAAGACCTTACGCAGTCCCATAACGATTTCGTAACAAACTAATCTTCGTGGCTCATCTCGAAAACTTTGATAATCTCATCCATTTTTTCTCTCGATCGTTTCTTTCATGAGAGATCACAGAGTCCCTTCTGAAATCGGGTGCTACTTCTAGCATGATTTACTCGCTTCTCAGAAGATCCTTCGAGATACATATTAATTTTGATGCGTTTTTAATCTCCGCGGTCTGTTAAGTTTCAGCAACCTGTGGCTTTCTAATAAATTCGCTCACCAATGTCACAGCCAAATCAGGTAGAGGCTCTCAGAACTCATCCAAGAACCTCACAAAGCGGAGTCATCCAAGCTGTAGGCAAACACCATTTGACATTTGTTTAATTATGCTTTTTAATTTTCTAACGACCTTTCAGAATATTTTCCTTTTGCATTCCTAATGACTAGCACTAGCGGCGAAGTGTTTGGTCATTGCAGTGAACTCTTCATTACCCTTCCTCTCAAATATTCTTTTCTTTCCTGACTTTTCATAACATTAAAGTCATTTAGCCGCGTTAATGAACAACGCCTTCGAAGAATCGGAGAACCTGCCCTGCGGAAAAGCGAAGATAGACGTGTCGATTTTGAGAATCGCAGATCTGGGGAAATAATGGTATTCCGAAAATTGACGAATATAGATTGTATGAAATTCAAGCCCATGTCCGCTCTTTTTGATACTGAAATCCCGGATTTGAAAGAATTGCGTAAAAGGCTGTGTACTGTCGAATGATCTTTTCGAACTAATTCCCTCTACAGGTTCTCTCGATCCCGCATTTGTGCAAAACTTTCTCTTTTTTAAGAACAGGCCTTAAAGGCCTACTGCCGTGAATTTTCGAACTCAATTTCCACCATGTGTCAGGTTTTCCTTTTCAGGGTTTAGCTCTGACACGCGTATGCTTTCCCTTCTAACACCGTTTCCTCAATCTCATTCTTTAAGATTACGGACTCCATCGGATCCATCAGCCAGGACTGAGTGCTCGCAATCTAACTATGGAATTGTTTTCATACTGGTTGCGTCAGACTTTTGACTGTCCCCTCCCCTTCGGCTAGCGTTCGCTAGCGACGCTCAAATCGGAAACGCTGACAGACGACTCAAAATTGCTTGATCGCAGTGATGACTGTACGCTAAGAGGGATTTAGATTTGTTTAAAAAAATCAAGGCAATAAATTGTTACTGTCCACTAATGGTTCTATCTGATTAGTAACTTATCTCCACGAGGATGTGGAAATAATGAGTTAAAAAGGAGGGGTTAATATCTGAGACGTTCTCACGTTGATTTATTTTTTTGTTTCATGCACATTTTTCTTATTTTTAGGGCCATGCTGCCTACACACAACAGAAGAACTGGCCAGGAGTTACATCTGCTTGGTGTAGACATCACGCACAGGTGGGATTTCAGTTTTGTCTCGTCCTCTTTCTAATACGTGATGCCTGTTGAAGCGCATTGCATTAAAAGCACGCTCCATGTTCATTTGGTGTTCAGACGCGTTTTATGGAAGGGGTAGCCCTGCCCGTAAACATGAAGTCTGTACCACTAGCAGCCTAAAAATGCGCGAGCAAAGCGCGACTCGCTTGCGACGAGACTACTGTCACATGAACATGGACTACTGCCAAACATGGACTGCGCCCGGCTATCATTTGTACAGGCTCCCTGATAGCATGGTTGTTTCGCTACTACCTCCATCTCGAATTTTGAAAGAATCTCACTGGGCGAAAGTTCTAGCTGGAACAAGTGAGAACACTTATCGCCATCTTGTCGCCTTACGCACGTGCAAGCGCAGTTTGGTTAGGCCACACAACTTACCACGGGGTGTGTTTTGATTGTTTATTTTTGGACACCGTACTTTCGACTTCCATTCAAAGTGATGACCAGGTTTTAAATGCGTACTTCTACGATGAACTAGTGGGACCAATCAACGACGCGTTCATCTTCTCACCATTAGATGAATCCCTTAGTAATCCACGTCGTTCCAAGCTAACTTCGGAGGGGTGGAGGGTTTACTTGCTTAGTTCGGGGTTTTATCTGCGTTCGATAGCGGTGGCCACATGCGACCGTTCCATGTTCCCTTCCCCCCCCCCCTCCCCAAATAGATTTATACGGTATCCGCATGTCACAGAACATTGTGTCTATCGCTCTGTGAAAATTTGGCTTTGACCAGCCATTCGTTCATTATGAAGCGCTCGTCTTCTGCATTTCGCAGAAGTAGCGGTTACTGCGGGGCACGTCTGAAGTTGTGAACTCATCTGAACAGTAGCTGCCCATCCAGAGCCATAGTATGAGTCCCATTCACATTGAAATAACTCCTATTATGATGAAAACTGACAGGAGCACATTTTACAATCAAAGGCTGGTCTGCACTGGCCAACTCGTTCTTTCTTCGCAGTCGCGTTATTTGCGTGTATGTGAAAGATGTAGATCCTAGTTCTGGAGCACACATTTTCATATTCCAGCTTTTAACTTGAGATTGTTTTGTTTTGTTGTTGTGAGCTTTGTTCTTTTTCAGGCCATTGTGGATTCAATTCACACTACTTTCGCTAGCTGTTTTTGTATTTTATATTGGATATGGATACATGCAGGTTTGTGATATAGACAACCTCTTTTTTATAGTGTAGTTCGCTGCGGACGGGGCGTGTCAGTGCGGCTGCGTTTGGCGCGGTGCCAAACTCGTTCTCCACCAGTTGTTGAAGCGGGCAAGTGACAATACTGTATCATATCGTTCGTATTACTCGTTTTCTACCACTTTTTGTCGCATGCGCGTTTCAACAAGAAGGCAGAGAACGGCTTTGACGCTGTGCACACTCATACTGGCTGACACGCCCAACCGTCCGCAGCGAACTAGAGTGTAGTTCCAAGTTATACAGACGCATAGTGTTGAATTGTTATTCCTTGTCTTACATTCTGCGTGAACATGCAGGATAATGAGAAATCAGTGCCAAGAGAATCCCTAAGGTTCACTAACGAATGAAGTAAATCAATGTAGCCCAAAATATGTGAAGATCACATGTTTAGTCAACTACTGCTTGAATGTTCCCCATTCTCTTTCAGTTTCCCCTATAGAACAACAGATGTATACTTTTTACAGTTAAAATTTTTATTAAGTGTTAGATTTTCGGATCTGTACAGTCCACAACGCGGGGAAGCGGTAGAGCTTGTCAAGGGGCGTGGGTCGGAGCTCAGCGATGGCCGTGTTCCCTGCCAATATTTCAGATTCAGGCCAGCAACTAGAAACCGTAGCTGAGCCCCACTCCACGCCCCCTGAAGGTCATTGCTTCGTCGTCTTACCGACTTTACGCCCCCGTGAACAGTCACAATCTATCCATAGAGAACCAGTGAGTCTGGAATGAATTCGTGCCCTTCATAGGAGCTCATCTTCAAGTTGCCTGGCATGAAACCTTACGGCATGTATCTAACATTGTTTCAATTCATCATATATAGTGTTTGTGGTTGGGCAGAAGGATCACTGTATCATGATACGGTGCGAAGGTGAGAAAAATCCTCTTCTTCTTAGTTTTCATTTCGGTAATTCTATTTCCACTTCAGAATCCCTCTAAGAATCTATTTTCTATTGGCGTTTTTCACTGTAGCAACCATGGGTCTTTCGAATGCATCTGTTGGATACCTCAACTATCCCACACAGGTTTGTACACTATGGATGTCTTGCACCTTTTTGTAACTTCAGGCGCTTACGGTGTTGATTTTTCCGCGTGTGCATTACGTTAGAATCGGTGCTAGCGCCGCGAAGGTGTGTGTTGTGGGGAGGCAGAGGCGGTCGGGGATGCGGTTGGCATTAGCACTAGGGTGCAAACGATATGTAGGAGACACGGTAAACACTGTAATTTTGCTGAACTGCTGCAAAAAGTTGCGCTTCCTAACGAACGCTGAGTTTCCCTACGTCTCTATTTCTTCCTCCTTCTTTATCTCTTGTCTACATCTTACCAGCACCTATTTTGTCTTGCAGAACAATGTTCAAAGTCGAAATGGCTGACAGTGAGAAGTGAAAAGTCACATAGAGTTCTATCCGTCAGACAAAAGCAAACCATCAAATCAGAATGCTGAATAATCCAAAAATACGATTAAATTTTACAGCTAATTTGAAATTTCTATCAGATTTTCCCTATAGGTTCCATTGCTCGTCTCCTGGTATCGAAGCGGGTTTTCCTGCTCGCTTGGATCTGCGCAAATGGAACCATTCCTTTTCCCCTGGCCTTTCGAAGGGGATTGCTTTATGATGCAGGACTCATCTTTTCAGAAGGATCTAATAGGAAAATCCTGTGAACTAGTCAATGTACTGTTACAGGTAATTTTAAATGTTGTAAGCTTGTGCCGGTTCTGATTGGTGGAATACTTATACAAGGGAAACGATATGGATGGTTAGATTTATTTGCAGCTGTGCTTATGAGCATAGGTGAGTCTGCGTGATAACCCATTAAACTGCGTTCACACTTTGCGGCAATGTCCACAAGCGTTACTAGCGTGATTCAGTGTCAGCGACTAAAAAAGTATAGATATCGATCTAGCGCGTGTCAGCGTCTGCCGCGTCCACCAGCGACCAGCAGCGTCTCGAGGGCTAGGGAAGTATAGGTATCGATCTAGCGTCTGCCAGCGTCCACCAGGGACTACCAGTAGAGTGCTGGTAGATAACCAGCAGTAGACTGCTGGTAGATAACCAGCAGTAGACTGCTGGTAGAGAGTATGGGGCGATAGGATGATGTCTGCTACCCTCTTACAGCGCCATAGTCTACCAGCTGCTGCTAATCTCTTCTCACGCTTTACACTCCACTCTCGGACGCTGCAAGTCGCTGGTGGACGCTATGGCTCGCTGGTTGACGCTCCGCAAAGTAGGAACACAGCCTTACTAGCTCGAATTTTTATCATGCAGAAGTTCCATTCACATATGTGAAACTTCAGGACTCATTATGTTCACTCTTGCCGACAGCAATGTATCTCCTAATTTTGATCCCAGAGGATATGTGATGATTTCCGGCGCTCTTCTTGCAGACGCCGTAATAGGCAATATTCAAGAAAAGAACATGAAGAAATATGGTGGATCTAGCAACGAAATGGTAAGTTACACTTCGCTTCACAATCGCAACATTCCTAAATCTGTCTCGCTTCAGGTCTTGTATTCCTATTCCATAGGTTCTGTGTACTTGTTTCTGTACACGATCGTTTCTGGAGAACTTTTCAGCGCCTTTCAATTTTTTCTCGATGTAGGTTCTTTAACGAGTTTGCTTTTTTTTTCTCGTTACCACTACTTAATGCTTTCAGAATCCATGGAAAACATACGGTTACTCTCTGATCTTTGCACTTTTTGGATATCTTGGCGTGAACGTTGTGCTTACTCTCATAAAAGTATGTTCTCTTTGATTAAACCTTTTTCACAAACGTCTGGAGGTTCCTTCCCAAAACCACACCATTCAGGTGTGCGGAGCGCTTGTTGCGGTTACGGTCACAACACTGCGTAAAGCTCTTACTATCACGCTCTCGTTCATTCTGTTTTCGAAACCATTCACTGTGGACTATGTATGGGCAGGCCTAGTTATACTCGCAGCTATTTACCTGAACTTGTACAGGTAATTCTGAGTTTTCTGTAATCATAGAGAAGTCGAAAATCTGAGAAATGCGATTCTCAGGAGCTTTTAGTTTGTACTTTGATCGTATGACTTGAGAGATTACTCCTATGGCGACCAGTGATGTAGCCCCCCCCCCCATTTTTTTCGCCATGATGCGCTGATTCTCTGCAGTTCTGCGCAAAAATGGTAGATGTCACTTGCACCCGCGCCGTGGGCCGCATGCGACGAAATTGCGCGACCATCGACAATAGCAGTGAAACTCCTTTCCATCTCATTCCCTCTCGTCCGCGCGACTGCTGTTTCGCCGTGTCTCTGTCTCCACCGGTTTGTACTTGGAGCGAACACTTCGTTTCAGCTGCCAGGTATTTTCTCGTGCGAAGTGCAGCTGAAATAAGCCCTGTAACGGCCATACCGCAAACTCGTAAATGCGTGAATGGACGGAATAAAGCAGGGTGTGTGGCGGCAAATGAGGCATCAAATCTATATATTGAGGCAGGTTTAACACGTTCGCGGCGGCGCCGTTTCGTCAAAAAACCGTTTGTCGAGCGACGCGTTCGCGGCGGGCGACACTTAGGCAGTCATCCCGTTCATGGTTGCGCGCTCGCGAAGGAAGCATAAACGCTTAAAAATTCACGAAAGCCGTTTTTCTCCATCCTTTTTACATTTTTCCCTTCTACAAGTTTTACCTAAGTTTCGGTTAATAGACTAGCTTTCTTATCCTTTTTGATGTTCACTGGTACCGCACAAAGTAGATGTAGACTTTGATTCTTGTGAAAGATTCTTAAGTGTCCTCTTGTAAAACCATTATTGCCGTTAACCTGGTTTCAAAAAATACACGAGAAATGTTCTTAGTATTACTTGTACATTATTTATTTTATGATTTGTTCATAATTGCCAGTGAAAAGAAGAAAAAAAATTCAAAGAGGGAAGAGGCGCGTGTACTAACCAAGACGGCACGATTCCCGAACCAGGAACAGTTTTTTGAGTATTTTTTCCCGGTGTTAACGCGCCTCTTCTAAGTGTGGATATTTTTCTCTATTGTTTTTATTATTTATATCCAATTGTCAGTGAAAAAGAAAATAAAATACAAAAAACCAGCGAATAGGCGCGTGTACTCCCGGGAGTACACGATTCGCCGAAAGCGGAGTTTTTTCGTGTACTCCCGGGAGTACACGCACGCCGCCGCGAACGTGTTAAAGACACATGGTACGCTCAACACATTGAGGGTGTATGAGACTATCAGCCCCCAGCTGTCGATGTGTCGTGGTCCCCCCGCCCAAAACTGCACGGGGTCAGAGTACGGGACCGTGGGAAAGTCGTAATTCCTTGCTACGCCGCCCGTTTTTGCAAACTCACGTTTTTTACTAACACCGTTCGCGCGGCGCGATGCGCTGCAGCGCTCTCTTGGCTTCTTGCCAAGTCCTGTAATTGCGCTTTGGAATACAAGTACAACGCAATTTCTTTATGCGGATAACATTTTAGGTTCTGCAAAATAAGAACTGAAGATGATGACAAGGGCTAGAACTCAAGAGCAACTGTGGTGCTTCTGCAATATCCCTCAGAGGCCGCGCATTCCCACAGAACATGGTTAGGCTGTTGGCATAAGTCTTTCCCCGGACTTTTCGTAATATTCATAGGCGAGCCATCGCTAAAGATTGAGGTCATGCACCATCACCATCCACAGTCCGACATCAACGCTCGTAAAGCTTGTCGATTCCTTCCTCCCAGAAGTGCGGGGGCTGGGACCTGAAGAAGGCCACAATGCCGCACAATCGCCACTGTGACGTGATTTTTCAGTGGTTATTGTGCGGCACTGTGGCCTGCAAATGCAGGGTGGGTGAGTGATTAGTATGATGAAAGAGTATCAAGTACACGTCACGCACACGTGATGACGGAATACCAACTTCCATGCGAACGAAATACGGAGGGATCAAAACAGGGAGGAAAAGACTTATGCAACAACCTAATAGAAATCGGCCTTAGCGTCCACTCGTTAGTTGAAGTATTCTATACGATTTAGAGCCGGATTCGAGCTCGGATCGGCGCAGAAATGCACACGCGATTTTAATTAATTTGCGTTTCCTTAGTTTTTTCAATTTTGTTTTATTTACATCTACATTCGTTGTTCTTCATTTCTAGCCTTTGTCATCTTCATCACCTTCTATTCGGACTTTGAAGCATGAGCAATACCTCAAATGTTAGGAAATTGCGTTTTGCTTGTATTGTCATGTTTTATTGTCATGTTCTGTGGGAATGCGCGGCCTCTGAGGGATATTGCAGAAGCACCACAGTTGCTCTTGAGTTCTAGCCCTTGTCATCATCTTCGGTTCTTATTTTGCAGCACCTAAAATGTTATCCGCATAAAGAAATTGCGTTGTACTTGTATTCCAAAGCGCAATTACAGGACTTGGCAAAAAGCCAAGAGAGCTGCACGCGACCGCGCCGCGCGGATGGTGTTAGCATAAATGAGGGCGGTGTAGCAAGGAATTACGACTTTCCCACGGTCCCGTACTCTGACCCCGTGCAGTTTTGGGCGGGGGACCACGACACATCGACAGCTGGGGGGGGGGCGATAGTACTAATATCACCCCTCAATGGTTTGGGCGTACCATCGTGTCTTTAAGAAGGTAATGATAAAACCAGACAGGTTCATTATACAGTGCTGCTATAATGCAGTCAGAGCAAGTGGTACGATGGGGACCCCCAGCGAGGGGTATTTGATCGCCGAAGGGAGGGGTCGTAGTTTCCTTCAAGAAGAATGCTTCCTTTTGTTGACTTTTCTCGATTTTTTTTATTTCACATGCACTAAACGTTGTGTACTCGCCCCTCCCCTCCTCCCTTCCGCCCTCTCCCTCCCCTCCCCCCCGCTGAACGGCAATCTCTTCAGAAAAAGCGGAGAATTAAAAAAAAATAAAAAAATGACCGAATGTTGGACAGTTTAGGGGATTGTGGGATAGGGAAGGGGTCGTACCAAAGGAGTTTTTTTTCTTGGGGGGGGAGGGCGTGTTTGTCAGAAGGGCCCTGAATGCACTACTTTACATACGCTGCATTACATTACTTCAAATCAACGCCAATCTCTTTGGAAAAAGCGGAGAACTTTCGAAAAAAAAATGGTCGAATGTTGGACAATTTAGGGGGTTGTGGGATAGGGCAGTAGGGTCGTACCAGAGTTTTTCTTTTTTTTCTGGAGGGGGGGGGGTGTTTTGCGAAATTTTTTCCCATCGTCAGAAGGACCATGAATGCATTATTAACATTGCACTACATTACTTTAAAGCGTCATAAAAATGTGATTATCCTACTCTGATCCGCATTGTACACGATTTTTTTGCGGAAATAGTTGTGCTGGTTGCGAATACGCCCGTTGCTGTAAAGTTCGAAATTTCAGTAAAAACAAGCAAAAATGGGACGCGGAATTGAAGCGATTCATGATGCGATTCGTTTCGTCTTCGAGAGTCACAGTCTTCGCAAAGGATGGCCCCTTCATGGTCTAATCTCAATCTTGATTTTGTACTCATTTCTGCATTTAGCTACGGCCAGTTTTTTTGTTGGTGTAATAATTTCTGGTTTTAGACAGTTTATTTTTTAGGCTTTAAGCTTATGATTTAGCATTTGTTGGTGTTTTATAGAGAAGACAGGGTGCGGGTCGAGAAGGATATCGTTTTATAATCTGTGATATATTCGCCCAAGAGAACATAGTATTTATTCCATCTGCCATTCATCAAATGTGACACAATAAAGCTTTTTCAGTCACCATGTGATAAATAAATGATGAGAATTCGTATATTTTCCCGCTAACATAAGTGAGGCGGTAAAATCCCACCGAAACAATAATTAAGGTATAGTCGTTACGCTGCTTCTCAAATATAACGAGAGAAAATAGAAGCAGAATTAAAGCTGAAGAAGGTTGCTTAGTCTAACGTCTGTATATTTGCACAAGGAAAACTGATGTGCATCATTGACCCTTGACCGATCTAAACGTGGAGGTAGGAGGAACGATGGAATACTTCACAATAACAACTAGGTGAAACTTCAAAAAAGTATATAATGTCAAATTTACAGGATTTTCTAGTTCATTATATTTCGAGTACCAGCAACAGAACTATTTGGAAGTGTGATAGGTAGGCAACAAACATATATTGATAAAACATGGACATACAGTTGACTAGGGCCAACGACTGGTGGAAGTAACAAAGAAGTCTTCCTCAATGACATGTGCATTAGTTATGAAGAGGTGAGACGTTGTGAAATACGATCGATCCTGACATTTATTGTACAGGAGACGATGGCCTCGGTGTGCGCGGCATTTCTATGCTGGACGGGGCGTCCAAAGGAGTCTCGCATGGATGTACAACAATTGCCGGTGTACTTTGGTCGCCGTTGTGAACTTCATACCTAGATCGACAGTTTTCAAATACTTATAGTGTTTTCCCTCGTCTCAAATGAGAAAGCATCAAAATCAATTTCGAAAGCCGCTTTAACCGTTAGAGGAAATGCGTGCCGTATTCATTTATTTATCTATCAAAGTTTTAAATTAAAAACTGTCTTCTTGAAAGATGACATTCAAAATACGAACCTGAAAAAAAGAAAACAATTGAATGGTGCTGGATGGATGGCAGGCCCACTAAGACTGGGGTGTCCACCACCCCCCGCCCCCCAGTACCTTTGGTGTGATGTTAATCCATACATTTCTCGATGTTGAAGGCAGCGCCCGCGTTCATTTGATGTTCCTACGTCCTCCTTAGATATCGTAGCTTTGTCGACAAGGGTGGAGGATGTACTTAAATCAATACGAGAGACGGCCCACCTGCCTTGTGAAGAGAATGCCGCCCCGCCCACCTGACTGCCATAACTGCTTTGGCTCGACTTTTGAGGGCTGAGCCCGTTTCAAGAATAATGAGCTATGGAGCTCATTAGTACGTGTGACCAGTCGTGAAGAAAACAAAGCCCAAATCATAGGGAAATGCGCTGTAATAGACCCCAATGCCTGGCTAGGTGGACGAGGCGGGGCGACCGTCTCTTCACTAGCGAACGGCGCTATCCTCTCGCCTTTTTGAGATGCAAACTCGTACATACTGCATCCTCATGGGGAAGGCTACGATATCCAGAGAGGGCGCGCGAACATCAGAGCTGTCTTCAATTCCTTCCATTTCTCTATTTTATGGTACCATCGCGTTCTCTGAACATGACCCTTGCATAAAAATCCAGGCTCACAGGCCTCCTGCGATAGAACCATACATTCATCTTCATTCCCAGTGAGGAAAATTTACGCTTCAGCTCTCCTGGGCCCACTCACAGTCACAACGTCTGTGAAAGGTAGTAGAAAGGCAAGAATTCACAACAAAAAATTTCTCCGGGCCCCGTGGACCTGAAACGCGACCTTCCTTTCCTTGTTATGGATTGCTCGTAAGAAATGCCTTGGAATTAGGGTGAGATAAACGTCGACAATATACGGATTAAGCTCTTGCGCAAATAGAGGCCAAAACTATTTGGAAACAGTTATTCTTCCCCAGACGTTCCTGGTGATTCCAAGAACGTACGACAGTACTCTGCAAGAATGCCCAACCCTATCCAACCGTTGTCAAATCCTATGGGAATGCACTTACCTTGTCCTCCAAGAGCAAAGGATGCTAGTCGTGGCTCAGATCGAAATTACAAAATAATTGGTCGCCATTTCTTCAGTACGTAATTCCAATAAGCTGCTAAAAATCATAGAAAATTAGTAGAAAGAGCTGGAAACAAACTTTTGTTTTGAGACGCAGCACTGGTGAGAACACGGAGGTGAGATGAGGAATTGCTTCTCAAGAGGAGGTGGAGAGAGTAATGACGAAGATGGCCGAAGAATAACTCTCTGAACATTAGAATCATTATATAGAACATGATATCATTGAGTTTTGTTACAACTGCAAAAAAAGTCATCAAAGACTCCATGTTCGCCTTTCTTGTAACCTGGGCATTTGGTACTTATAATTCTAATAACTTCTTTCTTATGCCAAACAGGTTTGTATGGTGGATATACCTTTATTTACGCCTTATAGACTTTTCGACAATCTCCGTCGTTTTCCAAAGCCTGGAAGGCATACCGAACCTTTTAAACTAGATCTATCCTCACTTCACCCATGGGCCCGCTTCTTCATTAGTTGCAAATCAGACCAAAGAAGTTCCTAAGGAACGAAGCAAACTTCTGCTCAGCAATAAGTTACCTCGTCACTTCCACCAGCGCCGAACTGCTCTACTTTGTCACACAATGGAGCAAATGAGACTCACTGCTATGCACTTCATAGTGTGATAAAGTGCGTACGTGCAGTGCATTACGATCTCACTGTTAAAGCCCGCAAAGTGGGATATAGGGCAAGAATTCGGCAGTCACTGAGATGCATTCATTCCTGTTGTTCATAGATGGATTACGGTGCTTTATCCAGAAAGCCTCGAGAGTTTTCCTAGCACCAATATCATTATCGCGAGCCAGTATCGTACACTTGATATCGAAATCACAGCCGCCATGATTTTCCCTCCTATGCTTGCCGAGCGGTGCAACTAAACTTTCGCGTCTTTTGCTAGCCAGGTGTTCTTTTACGCGTATACATAATTGCCTCCCAGTTTCACCGATATATAATGCACCCACAGGTCAAACATTGTATCGGTAAATTATGCCGGCGTTGTGAACATTGGTCAACCCCACTTTTCCATATGGACAGACCACGCAGTTTTCCATGGTGCACGTCCGGTCATAGAGGCGATTTCTGACCAACTGTGTTTGATATTGTCTTTTGGTTTATTTACTAAAAGAACGTCGTTGGCCAGATCAGCCCTACGGATGCACTGCTGTATAACTGCGGTAAAGTGGTCCGATATGAAAGGTAGCTGAAAACGTATTTTATTTTCAGCTCTGTGGTGGGAAAACTCTCGGTGTGGCTTCGCCGTGCGCCGCTGGCTGCCAGACTGTGTAACCGGGCATCGGGACGTTGCGATTAGCTATTCGGGTGGCTAATCTCCTGGATTCTTCTCGCTCCTCGTTGCCGGTGCAAACCCTACGGCAGTTTTGAACATGTTTCGTAGCACTGCACGTTTGACAGCTCTGGGGTGTGCCGACGTTGCATGAACGATAATGTTCTTGGAGCTCTCTTTTCTATACCACTTCACATTGTACTGTCCATTTGATACCTTTATCTGAATGTTCAGATATGGTAACCAATCTGGCTAGCAAAAGACGCGAAAGTTTAGTTGCACCGCTCGGCAAGCATAGGAGAGAAAAAATCATGGCGGCTGTGTTTTGATATCAAGAGCTGTACGATACTGGCTCAAAATGACTATTGGCTCGACTAGGCGAAAACGTCGTTCGAGGCTTTCTGGATAAAGCCCGTACTCCATCTAATGACCACAACGAAGGATGCCCGCCAATCCTAGCTGACTGCCGATTTCTTGCCCTACATCCCACTTTGCGGGCTTTGAAGACAGCCCCCGCGCTCGAGTAGTCCATGGTCGTCCTTCCTTGTACAGGTAGTTCAGCCCCCAAGCTAGATGCTGTCCCACTCTCGCAACTCCACAGTGAGCGAGAAGCGAGCTACCAGCCGCTTCCAAAAAGTTCTTAATTCTAACGCCCTGCTCAAGTTGGCCGCCGTGCACTTGTTGCCCTGCGCTCTGACGGAGAGGCGCTTAGCTCTTTGTTGGTGGACGCGGCGAGCATACTCGAGATTGCGGTCATGTTTTTTGCAGCCGCGCGACCGGTGCCCCTCGAGATTAACTGGCTGGCCTTCTCTTTACGCAATTCGTGATTCATTTAGAGCAGAGTACCAGTCAAATGCACACCATCTTCGTGAAGGTAAAACGCATATTAATCACGAGTGATGCAATTTTTGTGGTGCAAAAGCTCGACTAGCAACATGCACTAAAAGCCGCTCGCTACCGTAACCCAAATTCGGACGCCGCCGTGTCTTTAAAAGTTTTTTTTCTTGCAGGAGTTTTTTTCTCGGCCGAGTTTTATTGTCTTTTCGTATTCTTTTAATTGCGATTGGATGCTATCCACTACCTGAGAGCATGTGATGAGTGATCTCTCTCGAGCCAGCGGGTTGCCCAGGCGGTGTGGACTGTAAGGGCGAGCAATTTCGTTTGTGGTGTTCTTGAGGGCTCTTGTTGCTTTTTTCCCTCATTGAGGAATTACTTATCAGCTACTGTTTCATAATTGATCAGCAATTATTCTTGCCACTTTTATCGCGGGAGCTGTCTTTAACAGTGAGATCGTAATGCATTGCACGTACGCACTTTATCACACTATGAAGTGCATAGCAGTGAGGTCCAGCAGCTCCTCATTTTGCTCGCATTGTGTGACGAAAGTTAGCGGCGTTCGGCGCTGGTGGAGACTGACAGGGTAATCTTATTGCTGAGTTCTTGCTTCGTTTCCTTTAGTTCGTTGGTCTATTTCGCAACTAGCCTCTGAGAGCGGGCCCATGTTGAATAGGATAGAAAGTTTCCAAAGTTTCGGTATGCTTCCAGGCCTTTGAAAACGACGAGATTGTCGAAACGTCAGGCGTAAATAAAGCATTCCACCATACAAACCTGTTTGGCATAAGAAAGAAGTTATTAGAACTATAAGTATCATCAAAGACTGTTACAAGCATGGACAAAAAAAAAAACCATAAGAAAGCACTGATTCAAACCTTAATTTGACTCGGCACCATGTTTGCCCCTGGTCATTAAAGACGAAAAATAGGTAGTTATGTTACATTTCTTAACACACCTTTACCACGACAAACATACAAAAACTCGAGTGTAAGATTATAATATTCTCTAAAAAAGGAAAGTCTGAAGTACCTGCGCAAGAAATGCTTTCATTTCATGTCCATGGAAAGAAAATCCTTGTACGATCAGCTTAGCAGCAGTCGCGCTTTCAGGCATCGTGCTGGAAAAGCTGATTAATCAGTCAGTAGGAACAGCGTCGCCACCTCAAACTATGAGACAAGGAACTTGCCTAAAAATAACTCGGACGCGTCGAAAGCTTTTCAGAAAATCGAAATGAATATTCTCCTCGATTTGCGTGAACAACTGACAGAAATTCTCCTTGTATTCCGGATTTGTGAAAACCTAAATCAGCAAGGAACGTGCAGGGCACAATACAGTAAGGATGGTCAGTAGCATTTTGAACTGACTTACGAAGGAAATCACTTTCCCCTCTCTGCACGCCTATTTGTGTGATGTGAAATCATCAATCAACTCGCGTGTGAATTCTACGATGCGCGATTGTCAGTGAATCAGTGCACACTTTCGTTCGGCAATGGGCACAATCAGGCGTGTCAAGGGGGATGGGTTCGACGTGGCGCCAGCCTGGTTCTTCCCTTTTTTCTTCTTTCGCCAAGCAACAAGACTGTATCACATCGTTCGTCAGTCGTTTCCCACCAACTGCTGTC